AGCAGTCGGGTCTTCTGGTACCCACAGCTGAAAGCATTCCTAATCAATATATTTGTTTAAGATTTATTTTGAGATCATTTCAAAGTTACGGAAGAATGGTCGGCGCCTGCCCTGCACCCTGACAACAGCAAGCCCAGGGGACCGCTGCCGGGGGTGAGAGGCCGGAGCAAACTGACCTGACCTGAAGTTCAGGGCACAGCTTCCAGCTGGCCACAGGCCACTCGTGAGAAACCACTATTGTCGTGTTACGTCACTAAGGGGGGGGGGGACTGCTTATTATGCAGCATTATGATAACAAAACCTACCATTTCCTCCTTTATTCATAGTAGCAAGGATTAATGATAGCATTTTTAAATTTTTTCATATTCTTGTTTTTAAAATTTTTTTCTTTATTGATTTTAAAGAGAGAAAAGGGAGAGGGAGAGAGAGATAGAAACATCGATGAGAGAGAACATCGATTGGCCGCCTCCTGCATGCCCCCCACTGGGGATCAGGCCCACAACCTGGGCAGGTGCCCTGATCGGGAATTGAACCGGCGACCTCTTGGTACATGGGTCACTGCTTAACCACTGAGCCACACCAGTCGGGCAAATTTTTTCATTTTCCTTTACAGTTGACATTCAATATGATGTTATATTAGTTCCTGGTGTACAGCAGAGTGGTCAGGCAAATATGTAATTTACAAAGTGATCCTCCCAATAACTCAGGTACTCACCTGGCACCTTACATAGATATTACAGTGTTACTGATTATATTCCCTGTGCTGAACTTTACATCCCTGCGACTATCTCATAACTACCAGTTTGTCAATCCCTTCCTCCAATCTCCTGCCTTTAATGTTTCCATTTGGAAGATGAGGACACTCAGAATCAGAGAGGTGAAGTGACTTGCTCGAGGTCCCACAGCTGGCGAGTCAGAGAGGGGGGACTGGAACCCAGGACTGTCTGGCTTGCAAGCCCATCTTCCTTCCTGTGTCTATAGACACATGCCAACGTCTGGCGTGCGACTATTTCGCCTGCCTGAAATGGCTGCTTCCAGCTTCCCGGGTTTCTGAGCTGGGGAGGGTGGAGATGCAGACACTGACCTGTTTGCAGAGGCCTCCAGGTTACCATTGATATTTGTGCACTTGAGGTGGCTTTTCCAGCCACAGGGTTGGATGCAGATGACGGGTCATCTCTATCCTTCCGCCTGGGCTCCGCTGAGCTAAGCTGAGCATGTCAGCAGGGCTGGCGCCTGGGGAGCTCGGGTGCAACCTGTCACCAAGGCACCAAGCCTGTCTGGGTGTAAAACAGCATGGTTCTTTCGATAGCAGCCACAGCAAATCCGGGCTCTGATCCTATTGATCTCGCCATTTGTCTCAGGGACACAAAGCCAACTTAGAATACCCCTTCAGAAAAGGGAGGGCCAGTGAGTTCAAATAGGAGAATATTTGCCAACCTGATTAGGAAAACCCCGTGTGCGCAACCGTTCTAAGAAGATCCTCTTAGAACAACTTTGCGGGAGCCAAGCGTGTGGGGGCTCGCTTCCCTGCGGCTGTCCTCCAACTGTCCTCCGGCTGTCCGGCTGCGACCAGGCGAGAGATGAGGAGTGTACTAGCCCCCTGGTTGGTGAGAGTCCACACCAACGAGCCTGGGTTCTGAGGCTGAGGGCAGACGCTCGCTGATTTCAGCTGGTTGCTCTGCCCAGCTCTTTTGAGAAACGCGGAAAAGACCCTGGGTGAGGGAGCAGCTGCTGCTTCCACAGGACCACTGTCCCCGCCGGGCACGCCGCCCCAGGTGCCCTCCGGGCAAGGGGCAGACGCGCACTGCGGCTGCCGACCGTCCCTTTGCACGCATAAGGCCTTATCGACAGAGAGGAAACTCTGGATAACAGAGGAGAAGCCGCAGGGTTCCGAAGATCCACCCTTTCACACGCGAAGCCCCATGCCTCTGAGCCTTTGCACACACTGTTCCCGCTGTTAGAAATGTCCCCCACTGGCCACGCCTTACCCCCAGGGTCCTCCTTTCCGCGCTGCCCTTCCCCGTGCTGCCCACCAAGGCGGCCAGTGCCCCGGGTTCTCATGCCACCACCTGGCTAATAGTCCTTGTTTGTTTTTTGTGTTAGGCAGGCCTTTTCTGGGGGCAGGAGACAAGAGAAACTGAGCTCAGACACGTGTAGCAAAAGGGTGCTTTACTGGCTTGTGCAACTGCAAAGACGAGGCTACAATGGAGCGAGAGGCTCGGAAAAGCCCTTTTCTGTCTGAAGAGCACACAGGTACGGCCAGAGGGAAAACAGGGGCTCAGAGCCCCTCGCGGAGGAGCTCCTTCTGGTCTCATCACACTTGATTAAACTACTGTGATGAACCCATTTTGAAGATGAGGACACCGAGGCTCGAAGACATCGAGTAACTTCCCCAAGACCCCACAGCTAGGACATGCCTGTCCCTGCCACGCTTTTCCTTTGCTCTGCCTTCCCTTTCGACTTGACTGTGATTTCAGCCCAAAGAGGGACTTTCCCAGGGAAGCCTTCCTTAACTCTCTCCCCCAGGGCAACCCCCTTAACGCTCTGTGCCATTTCGTCCTAGCACTTGGTACGGTTGTAACTTTCTCTGGATGATTCCTGGGTGAAAGTCTATCTCCAACTGGACTCTAACCCCGCAGAGTGACAGGACAATGCATGTATTGTTAAATACACCCTTGCATTCCCAGTGGATAGAACAGCATTTGGGACATAATAGGTGCTCAATAAATATTTGCTGAATAAAAGAATAAGAAACTGAAATTCAAACCCCTGTCTCCAAAACCCAAGTTCTTTTCTGAGCTCATCAGTTGGTGTTCTCCAGGGTGAAATGGGATGGAGGTCATTCAGAGCAAGGAACTACCACAGGACCCATTAGGAAAATGACTGTGTGTGTGTGTGTGTGTGTGTGTGCGCGCGCGGGTAGTGGCTTGAATCCAGGCTGTCTGTGGACAAGGAGGGGTAACAGGAGAAGCAGCAGGAGCACCCAGCAATGGTACATGATTAAAAGACTGAAAGAACTTACATGACTGTCTAAGGATCAGGGATCACAGGGAGCTCCCGAGGTCTCTCCGTCAGGGGAATGACATGATCACAGTTATATCTGACAAGGATCACTCTGCCTGCCACAGAATGGAGGGTGGACAGAGGATCACAGCAGAACATTGAGTGCACTAACTCAGGATAGTGTCACCATAAAACAGGGTGGGGAAGACACAGTCTTGGGCAGGGACGTCACTGTTGGAGAGGAGTGGTCCAGCTCCTAGGAGATGGGGAGAGACAGGTGGTAAGTGTGACTCTGTAGTTTCAGGCGTAGGCATTTGGACAGATGGTCTTGCCGTCTCCGACAGAGAAAGTGGGGCAGGGGGAGAAGGCTTGAGGGGGAAGGGCTGTTGAAGGCTGAGCTGGCTGAGTCTGAGGAGCTGGGACTCAGGTGTTGCTCCAGGGTGCAGGTGGGGCCAGGGTGAAGGGGGCAGGTGGGTCTGAGCGGAGCAATGAGGGTCCAGCCCTGGTTTCTAGACCTCACAGCAGGTCTCAGATGGGACCTGGCAGCATGATGCCTCATCCGTTTCTCTCCAGTTGTCTTCAGCCGAGCTTAACACCAGCAGCCGTGGCGTCCACAAACGGACCTTGTCAGCTGGGGAGGCGTGGTGAGATCCTGGAACACTGCTCTCCCTTCCCAGCATTTCCTCGCCCCCCCCCCTTTTTTTGAATTTTAATTTTAGGCTTTGGGCCACCCATTCAAGCCTCAAGTTTCCTCTTCTGTTAAGCACTGAGATATTATTAATTCATCCCCTGCAAGGCTTAAAAAGAGGAAGACTGTGATAGTGCCCTGAAGAGAGGAGGCTCCCAACTTGGGGGGCTCCCCTCCTCCTCCTTGTCTCCCGGGTTCTCGGCAGTTCTTCCACAAAGGACAAATGGCTCCAGGATTGAGGGTGGTGGTGGGGAAGAGGACTCTCTCAAGAGCAGGTGAAGCCCCCCAGTCTTAGAATGAGTGGGTGTGGAGGGGAGGTTGGGCAACTTCCTAGGAGACATGCGCGTGCAGGTGACTGGAGCAGGTGGGCCTTCCCTAGATGGTTTCACTGACCCCCGCCCCCCGCAGGAGTAGACATCATTACCCCATTTTGTGGATGAGGAAACCAAGGCCCAGGGAACTGGAGTTGCTGTTCAAGGTCACAGAGCCAGGAACAATCCGGACTCGGGTCTGTGAGAAATTCAAAGTCGCCCCCTCCCCCCTGCAGGCGCTCTTTGCCGGCCTAGAAGCCAGGGCTCGCCCCCACTTCCCATCCGGACCGACCTTCCCGATCATCGGACGTGGCCAGGCCAAGGCCCCGGGGCAACAGGGCTGGGCCAGGCACCTGTTTGTCTTCCCGGGGCGCGTTCACCACGGCGCGCTGCGAGGACCTGGCACTGGGGCGCCTCTAGGACCTGCGGGCTCGTCCCCAGACTCGGCGGGCAGGGCGCGGAGAGAGGGTGCCGGCCCCGCGGACCGGCCGGGCTGGAGAGAGGGCGCCCGGGAGCCCGTGGGGCGGGCGCGCGGCGGAGCGGAGAGCGCGGAGGCGCGGGGCAGGAGTGAGGGCCCGGGAGCCGCGCAGGACCCGGGCGGCTCTGCAGCGCTCGCCTCGCGCCGGCCGCCCCGGCCCCCGCCCCCTCGGTGCTGACTAGCTCTTCGCTTCCCGGGCTCCGAACCAGACACAGCCGCCGCCGCCTCCGGGTGCGTTGCGGGCTCCCAGGAACAGCCCCTCGGCCCCGGCTACTTCCTGTCCCCGGCGCCAGCACTGAAGAGGCGCGGCACGGCCACCAACCCGGAGGCGCTGGAGGCGAGAAGGGTCCCCGCGCGCTCCGGGGCCCCAGCGCAGCGCACGGTGAGCGTCCCTCGGGACTCCGGGATCCCTTAGCCGCGGGTACCCTCGAGCTACCTCCGGGTGCCCGATGGGGCCGCCTGGGGGGCACAGGGCTAAAGTGTGGAGCGCACGCAGCCCGCCCCTGCCGCTGAGTCCGACATGCTACTGCCTGGGCGCAATGGCACCGCGTACTGGGCGCGATTTGGGCAGCAACAGCTGGCTCCAGGAGGCGCCCTGGGGGGCTCGGAGGGGGCGGCGCCGCTGGGGCCCGCACAGGTGGTCATCGCCGGCCTCCTGATCCTGCTCATTGTCTGGACCCTGCTGGGCAACGTGCTGGTGTGCGCAGCCATCGTGCGCAGCCGCCACTTGCGCGCCAAGATGACCAACATTTTCATCGTGTCTCTGGCTGTGTCCGATCTCCTCGTGGCGTTGCTGGTCATGCCCTGGAAGGCTGTCGCTGAGGTGGCCGGCTACTGGCCCTTTGGGGCCTTCTGCGACGTCTGGGTGGCCTTCGACATCATGTGCTCCACAGCCTCCATCCTGAACCTGTGCGTCATCAGCGTGGACCGCTACTGGGCCATCTCTAGGCCCTTCCGTTACCAGCAAACAATGACCCAGTGCGTTGCCTTGGTCATGGTCGGCCTGGCCTGGACCCTGTCCGTCCTCATCTCCTTCATCCCAGTCCAGCTTCATTGGCACAGGGACAAGGCAGGCTCCTGGGGCGGGGTGCATCCACCATCCAACCTGGCCAACGGGACGCCCTGGGAGGACACAGGGGAGCCAGAGGTGAGGGAGGAGAACTGCGACTCTAGTCTGAACCGAACTTACGCAATCTCCTCCTCGCTCATCAGCTTCTACATCCCCGTGGCCATCATGATCGTGACCTACACGCGCATCTACCGCATCGCCCAGGTGCAGATCCGCAGGATTTCCTCCCTGGAGCGGGCGGCGCAGCACGCGCAGAGATGCCGGGGCCGCGCGGCCCGTGCGCCTGACGCCAGCCTGCGGGCCTCTATCAAGAAGGAGACCAAGGTCCTCAAGACCCTGTCGATGATCATGGGGGTCTTCGTGTGCTGCTGGCTGCCCTTCTTTGTCCTTAACTGCATGGTCCCCTTCTGCAGCGGACGCTCGGAGGATCCTCAGGCTGGCTTCTCCTGTGTCAGCGAGACCACCTTCGACGTCTTCGTCTGGTTCGGCTGGGCCAACTCCTCCCTCAACCCCATCATCTACGCCTTCAACGCTGACTTCAGGAAGGTGTTTGCCCAGCTCCTGGGGTGCAGCCACCGCTGCCCCCGCACCCAGGTGGAGACGGTGAACATCAGCAACGAGCTCATCTCCTACAACCAGGACACTGTCTTCCCCAAGGACATCGAGGCTGCCTATAGCCACATGATCCCCAACACCCTGACCCCAGGGGACAGGGAGGTGGACAAGGAGGAGGAGGGCCCTTTCGATCGTATGTCCCAGCTCTCTCAAGCGTCCCCAGATGTGGACCCTGCCGCCAACTCTGTCTGGGAGCTGGACTGCGAGGGGGAGATTTCATTAAGCAAAATAACACCTTTCACCCCAAGTGGTTTTCATTAAACTACATAAAAATGCCCTTCATGGATCTGTAGAACTGCACAGACATTAAGAAGCATGTAGAACACACACATACACACACACACATTTCCAGTGTTGCTTATTTTATCATCTTTCCTCTGTCTCTGAGGGTAGCCTTTGTGCTTAGAAACCTCACCTGATTAGTTTGTTGTCAAAAGAATTGGCAGAAGCCAATTGGAACAAACTCGTTCAAATATACCCCAGTCTGTTAGATGTGCACCAATGGTCCTCATAGAGGTGGTGTTTGGTCCTTACAAAAAAAAAAAAAAAGTGGGACTTGGTCTTAAAAATATATACTCTCCTCTGCCCTTTTCAACCAGTAGATGGTTCAGTGGCTTTTCAAATGCCAGGGCAGTGTGGGTGCAGGGCCGGGGGCGGTGGCTCTCCTGCGTCTCGCTCCCCGTGGCCTGTGTTTATGCAGCGGCTGTTCTCTGCATCTTCCCTGCAGCTGAGGAATTCTTGCTGACTTGTCCTGGTGTCTAATAAACACAAATTACGTGTGTGATGGGCTGATTATCTTGCTTGGCCAGATTGGTTTTCAGGACGACTTCTGGGGGAATCATGAAAACATCCTTTTGAAAGGGAAGACTTCCACTGGGTCTGGAAGCATACGTCCATTTCCTTTGCAGACAATTTGGCCTTAAAGATGCACTCGGGGCCAAGGGGTCATGAAGAGCTTCTGATGCCTCAGCATTTTTATTTGTTAGATGCATACATCTTGAGTCTGTGCAGAAAGCTAGCTTCGATGCATGGCATCACACATGAACGCCCAAAGCCTGGGATTCTAATATTTTTTTTCAGATTTGGAATCTTCTTTTCACAACAACGTAGCACAAAACAATTCTGATTCCTAGGCAGTTCTATCAGTTCAGTGAGGAGATCATATGGAACGATAGATCTTTCTCGACCTCTTCGATAGTGTTTCAGAGTTGTGTGGCTTTTGATCAACTGCGCATTACAAAGGGCTTGGAAATGTGTGCACTGATATGCTTAAAAACAAAAAAACAAATCCCAATTTCAAGTAGCAGTTTTTATTTGTAGACCATTAGAAATGAGAGAATGCATTTGAACTACAATGTAGGCGCATGTAATTCCTTCCAGTCGGTCCCTACTTTGAAGCAGGCTTATCAAGAACGGTTCAATCAATTCAGCTCTCTGTAGGGATACTTTTATTGTCTCCCGAGCAGTGTCTTGTTCGCTGTAAAATGGGCCGTGCCCACATGTAATGTTTAATAAGTATTTGTTGAGTGAATAACTGACTATTTTAGGAAGAGTCAGATTGGAAGCAAATCCTGTTTGGTACATTCATTTTTGTATATAATTCAGTCAAGTTGATATTGGGATCTGAGTTCTGTGCTCAGTTTTTGACCTTTTGTGAACCAATTGTCTTTAGGGAAAGACTTGGGCGGCGAAAAGTGCCCTGCTCTGCGTTTCAGGAAGTGGCTGTGTGACCTTGAGCGAGTCGGTTAAGCTCTCTGGGCTTCAGGTTCCGGCTGCCTGTGTAAATTGTGCGTCATGGTGCAGATGTTAGTGGACGGAGTCTAGGGCGAAATACAAGGCATGTCGTGTGCTTTCTCTACAGGGCTTCTTGGAGCTTTTCGTAGGCCTTGTGCAGCCCCAAGCAGGAGAGAATTCTGCATTGTTTCCCGAAGTCTTTGACCGGGTGAATCCTTGTTCAAAGTGGGATTCCTTATTCCCAGCTCTCAGGAGCCCACGATGTCAGGGAACACAGTTTGAGAAACTCCAGTTGATCTGGAAGTCTCCAAAGTGCAGCTGTCCCAGGCAGGTTGTTAGAAGCCAAATCTTTTGTGGCAAATGTTCTAGACCCCAGTCCGGATGATTTCGGTCAAGGAAAACGGGGAATGCGAGGACTTTGGAAACCCCTTCTGCAAACAGCGTTCCTTAGGGTTATTCACACCTACTGCGTGGTGGGCACTGTCCTAGGAATTAGTCGCCAGTCCAGTGCTCCGGGGTCTGGGAGCCTGTTTTGGTGGGAGAGACAAACAGATGAAGCGCCGAGGCTGTGCTGGGCACAGTGTGCTGCACTCAGACCCGGGAGCGTCACGCCAGGTAGTCACAGCTGACGTGATGCCAAAGGAAACATGAGAGCGGTGGCGCAGCGGCTGTTTACCTAGGGTGGCCCAGGAAGGCGTCCTGGAAGAGGCGTGATGAAGAGATACCCAGATGCGGAAGTAGGGGTTGGAGCAGGGCTCCAGGCAGAGGGAACGGCACATGCCGAGGGCTGGGAACGGGGCGGTGCTGGGCACCTGGGAGGAGAGAAAGGCCGCCCCTGGCTGGAGGGCGATGAAAGGCCAGCACCAATGGTGGCAGGCCTCGTTCTCATGTCTTCATTCATCTAACGCTCACAACCCCGGGGCGGGGGCGCTTTGCTTACCCCATTTCACAGATGAGGCAATGAAGGCCTTAGGAGGCTAAATCACTAGCCCGGGTCACAGGTGGCAGAGCTGGGCTTGAACCTGGGCAGCCTGGCCACGGAAGCTTTGAACTGCCCAGCAGGGCTGAGCGGGCTGGCCGGGCACCCCGGTCAGCAGCACAAGCACTGATGCCCGGACGGGAACAGTCCCTGTCCGTGTGTTCACGAGCTGGTGAGCGGTGGCGTTCCTGTGGCCGCCCCCGCTGTGCACCTGCGCGGAGCATGCCTTGGTTGGGAGGGCAGTGGGGGAAAGAGCCGGTGTCCCGAGCCCTGCCATGGGTGGCCAGGTGCTTGCCGATTTTTATTTGTCCCTCACACACTATGACTTTTCCATTTTACAGATGAAGACACTGAGGCTCAGAGAGGGGAAGCTGCTCACCCAATGTCACATCTCTAGTAAGTGGTAGGACCAGGGTTTACGCCTAGGCCAGTGGTTTTCCACTGGGGCAATTTTGTCCCCCGGGGGACATTTGGCCATTTTTGAATTTTTTTTTATTCCTCTTTCAAGGATACTTTTTTTATTTTTTATTTATCATCAGGTAGAGTGAGAGGAAGGGAGAGAGAGACAGAAAGAAATATCTATGCAATAGAGCCACATCGACTGCTTGCCTCCCACACGACCTGCCCAGGGCCAGGATCGAACTGCAACCGAGGTATGTGCCCTTGGTTCGGAATGGAAGCTGTGACTCATTGGTTTGCGAGCCGATGCTCTAACCACTGAGCCAAACCAGCCAGGGCATGAATTTTTTTTTAAATCCTCACCCAAGGACGTTTTTCCATTTATTTTCAGACAGAGTGGGAGGGAGAGATAGAGACAGAGAGAAACATCGATGTGAGAGAGACACATCTATTAGTTGCCCCCTGCAGGGCTCTGACTAGGGCTGGGGACTGAACCACAACCGAGGTATGTGTCCCTGACCAGAATTGAACCCGCAACTCTTTGGTCTGCGGGCTGAAGCTCTAACCACTGAGCAAAACCGGCCAGGATTGGCCATTTTTGGTTGTCACAACTGCATGTGGGGTGCTCCTGCCATCTAGTGGGTAGTGGCCAGGGATGCCGTCAGACACCCTACAGTGCACTGGACGTCCCCACAACCAAGGACTGCCCAGCTCTGGGAGGGTTTGCCCCAGGCCGACGCAGTATCCGTCCCAGCTGCCTGTCCACACAGCCACCCACCCCAGGCTTGGAAACTGCAGAGCGCCACAGATTACCTCCCGGGGAGCTGCCACCTCACACCTGTCAGCATGGCTGTCACCAGCGAATCCGCAAACAGCAAGTGCTGGCGAGGACGTGGAGAAAGGGAGCCCTCGTGCACCGCTGGTGGGAATGCAGACTGGTGCAGCCACTGTGGAAAGCAGTATGGAGTTTCCTCAGAAAATTACAAATGGAACTACCCTATGACCCAGCGATCCCACTTCTGGGGATTTATCTGAAGAAACCCGAAACACTAATTTGAAAGAATGTATGCACCCCTATATTTATTGCAGTATTATGTACAGTAGCCAAGATCTGGGAGCAGTCCAAGTGCTCATCAGTAGATGAGTGGATAAAAAAGCTGTGGTACATTTACAGAGTGGAATACTATGCAGCTGTGAAAAAGAAGGAAGTCTTACCCCTTGGGACAGCATGGGTGAACCTGGAGGGCATTATGCTGAGTGAAATAAGCCAGTCTGAGAAAGACAAGTACCACATGATCTCACTCATATGTGGAATTTGATGAACAAAATGAACTAATAAGCAAAATAGAGACAGACTCACAGAGAGCAGGCTGATAGCTGTCAGTAAGAAGGTGGGGTGGAAGGCTTGAGCAAAAGAGGAAAAAACTCATGGACATGGACAATAAGTGTGGTGACTGCCAGGGGGTGGGGGAGGAGGAGGAGGGTGTGGGGGATAAATGGTGATGGAAGGAGACTTGACTGGGGTGGGGAACACACAGTACAGCGTACAGGTGATGTGTGTGGAACTGTGCACCTGGCACCTGTGGAATTTTGTTAACCAGTGTCACCCCAATACACTCAATAAAAAGAAAAAAAGAAAGTTCACAGCCCTGAGTTCAAATTTTAGCTCCCCACATTTATTTGTTGTCTGCCTGCGGGCATCTCTCCTAGCTTCAGTTTCTTGACCCAAAACATGGGCACACCAACGCCAAGGGCTTGGGTGAGGATTAAAAGCGAATGTGTATAACATGGAGGTTATTTTTGTGATGTTCTTTTTTGTCTTTTTCCTTTTCTTTTCTCCTTTTAATTCCTCACCTGAGGATATTTTTTCACTTATTATCAGATAGAGTGAGAGGAAGGGAGAGAGAGACAGAGAGAAACACTGATGTGATAGAGCCACATTGACTGGTTGCCTCCTGTACGACCCCACTGGGGCTGGGGACGAACCACAACTGAGGTACGTGCCCTTGACCGGAATTGAACCCGCGACTCTGGTCCGTGGGCCGATGCTCTACTGCTGAGCCAAACCCGCCAGGGCCTCTCTCCTTTTGAAATGAACTCTAGGCTCTGGCCAGTTTGGCTCAGTGGTTGGAGTGTCGGCCTGTGGACC